CTCTCAAATCTATTGTTATCTTATTATGTTACACATCATTATAGCAATTTTTGTTCCCATTTTCGCCTAAACATAGTTGTAGGACTGATTCTTAAATAATTTATGCTTTGTCATTCTTGCCTCTTAATTTAGGTACATCACAATGGAAGAATTGGAGCACGCCCTGAAGAAGTATAATACGGGCGATAAGAAAACAATAAAGGAGATTATTGCAGAAGTTGACATAGACAACGTATGGTTTCTCTCCTTTACTAATGCAATGCTTATCTAGCCTTTTTTATTCTCCTCATACATAGAAATTTCATATCGAAAAAATATAGTACTTCATGTCCATGTTTCTTTGTCATCCAACAACTACACTCGGACTAGCGAACATGTTATTTTTCAAAAATGCAAGACACGACACACTTGTGGCATGTTAAAATTTCGTATTTTTTACAAATTTATTATATATCATACATATGAATGTTTATATATTTTGTAACTTAAAACATCAAGATATCTTGTATGTTACAATTACATTCTAAAGAATGCAAAACAATTATAGAAATTGTAATACACATGTTATATGCATCTTATAAATATTTCAAAATATATTTAGAAGAACGCATAAATTGTGTTATGAAGAATGCAGAACATTATTAATAAGAAAAAGTTATCACTTATGACGTGTTCAGAGGATTTAAGAAGTATCTCTGAAGTATCGTGATCACCATACGCTTCCTCCGCTGAAGTGTCTGTTCTTTTTAGATTATAAATGCACTGTCTTTTGATTCCAAAACTCATGATGAATTGGCACTTCGAAAATGTATCCTTTAATTCTTTTGCAGGATGGAAGAATTAACTACGATGAGTTTGTTGCCATGATGAGGAAAGACAATCCGGAGGTGGTCTTAAACAGACGTCGCAGATAAGTTTTTTCAACGTTACATTGACATGTGTTTTTCCAGCTTGAGGACATGATTTGTTGGCCTAACCGGGGCGTGTTGCAATTGGGATTGAAAAATGTTCTCAGTTTGGCTACCTGGAATCACAGCGACAGTTCTTGCTTTCTGGATTGGTTTGTGGTTTGTCTATACCTGCCTTTACACACAAAAATGAGTTAGCTTGTCATCATTTTGCTACATAATTATACTACCAGAATGTGTGATTATTTACTCTCTACTTGTTTCCAAATTAAGCACAAGGGCATTTGTCATTTACAGATTGGATTTTATTCTCTCTCTCTCTGAGTTATGAGCTTCCTTAACTTCTACCTTTTTTTTCTTTTATTTATATATTTTTTGAGAACTGTCTACCTTGTTTTACAATGCAAAGGACCATGAACAATTTGCGTGACTCATGTACCATATTAGAAAAACTATTCAAGTCTAGCACATAATCCAATTTATGTGCACTTAGAATTTTTCAAAATTATTTAATGTCTTGAGACCAGTCATTGGGAATGTTATTTAGAGTTTTAATCTAATTTTATTCCGAACTTAGAGCTTGAGAAAAATATTGGTTGTAACCGTGTCACAATCAACCAAATGAGTTGAATGAGATTGAACTTAAGATGTTCTTGTAATCAAATTATGCATAATGCATTCACATCCATATATTGGCTCAAATTAAAATTTTGGTAAAAAAATTATTCAAAATTTATTTAAACTTTTTGTTTCATACTTATATCAAATTGAGTTTTATTCATTTTTTACTCAAATGAAAAAAGATTTAATTTAAATATTGAATCAAACATCCAACATTTTGGTAAATAACACTGTTAAAATATGATGAGATATATTTTTTTTTAAAAAAAATCTGAATAAAAATTAAAGACGGTTTGATTTTGAGATTTTAAAAATGATTTTTAATTTTTTTTTGTTTTTAGTGAAATTTTTAAATATTTAAAAAAAAATATTTCTTAACTTATATGGACTTAAAAAATAAAATATTTATAAAGAAATATTAAAAAAATTGTATTTAGTGATTTTTTAAAATTATGTTCATATTTTTTTTAATACTTTTTAGGTGTAATAATTGAAAAAACCCACTAAATTACGTAATAGCGCAACAATCAATTTCCAAACAGAATAAAAGTTTACCATTAGAATTTTTATTGAAATATTTACTTAAATCAGTGCGTAAAAACTTCAATCATGATTGGAGGATATAATTTACATGTATTATAGAACTTTTAAAAAAAAAATCAAACTATTTTAACTTAATTTGTCATTTTTTTTAATATTAAAACTCATTTGAAACTGACTTGAATAATAAACAAACTAAATTTTTAATATATTTTTTAAGTTCATTAAGTTTTAATTGTTCGGAAAATTTTAAATAAATTATATTTTATTTCAAACTTTTTTATTTGTAGTGATTTTTTTATTTAAAATTATGTCAATTTTTTATTTTTCTAACGTACCTTATCTAGATGAATCTAAAGGTAAAATTATTATTTTTTAAATTAAAAACTAAACTGATAAAGCTTCCACCATAATATCATAATCAACTAAAAATCATAATAATATACGTAAATACAAAAAATAAAATAAAATAAAAATAAAAATTTAGAACACTTTGCTATTGATAGCTTTGAGAGCATTTCCAATTTGCTTGACATTTTTGGTCAACATCTTCACGTTAGCAAAGAACCCTTCTTGCCTGTACGGCATCAACAACCGCCTCCTCCGATCTCTCTCCTGCGCCACCGTCACTCCTCCTCCGGCCACCGGCTGCTTCACTCTTCCGGAGACGCAGTAGGTTCCTTCCGGAACTCCGTCGAGCTCATCTCTGCCAAAAATGGGGTAGACAGGAATGATCTCATCGGCAGGGGTGGGGAACTCAAAATCATCATCTTCATCTTCGTAGCTCTTCCTTTCTTCTTTTTCTTGGACCCCTGGCATCTGATCAGTCTCAGTTTCGTGCGTTTTGCCTCTTAGCTGCTCTTCCAAATTAGTGTTCTGGTTCCGTAGAGAGTCCACCTGCTCTTCCAATTCCCTGACCCTGTTCTTTGCACCTTGAAACGCGTTCATAATTTCATATACACGGCTCTCAAAGTAGCCGTAGTCTTCCTCAATCGCGCTGAGATTCTCCATCAGCAACTTCACTTCATCTCCTTTCTGGGTACGCAGAGAATCCAGCTCAAGTTCTAAACCCCTCATTCGAGCTGATGTTTCACTCTTATGGGTCTCATGCATCTCGGTGTGACTCGCAAGTTCCCTTTCTCTCTCACCCAATTTCTCCCTCAGCTGGCTACATTCGGTGACAAGTTCTTGTAAAAGCTTTGAATTCTCACCATTCAACGTTTCAACTTCCATCTTTAAATCACTGATCATCTTCTCTGCTTCCTTCTCTTCAGTAGTTTATGTCAACTCCCTTTTCAAGTCAGCCACTTGAAGTTCTTGCTTATTGTCATCTGTCACCATCTGAAACTCATTTTGCAATTCTCCATTTTTACTGCCCTTTTCCTCTGAAGAATAAGCTGAATCCGAGTCCAAGCCGGAGGAAGAAAAATAAGAAACATAATCTGTATTCCCATCTTTTTCATCCTCAACTAATGTCTTCTCCACCGACTTCCCGCCGCAGCTGCCAAAAATTGATCGAAGAATCCGGGAAAATTTTGAGGGTTTTTTAATAATGGATCGTGGTGGTGGTTGAGAAAAAACAACTTGCTGATCCATTGGGAAAAAAGACAGAAGACAGAGATGTAACTCTTGGGAAAAAAGACAGAAGGAAGACAGAGATGTAGAGGTTGGGGTAGAGATGTAGAGATGTAGGGAGTGATTTTTATGGTGAAAGGTAGTTCATTTTTCTCCATATTCTTGCTTTGGTAGGTTCTCTTTGCCATACAAAATTTGGGTATCAAATGGAAAGTATTGACATTTCCATTCCACATTTCCTTAACTCTCTCTCTCTGAGTGTGTGTGTGTACGTGTGTGTGTGTGTGGGAGATGAAATGTTTCATGATCAACATTTCTTAAATTGCAGAGTAAGCTGAGTAGCTAACATTTTTTTGGAGGTAATGGGAGATGAAAATTTCCTTGTAGTCATCCTATTGTGTTATTGTGTTGAAAATAAATTAAAATAAAATTGTTGATTTGCATTGATAGTGGAGTCAGATAAGGTAGGATTTCTATTTCAACTTTCATTTCCTAACTCTCTCCCTCTCTCTGTGAGAGTGTGTGTGTGTAATATTGCACTCTGGCCCTTGCATTTTTTATAATTTCACTAAAGTCCTTTCACTATCAATTGTGACAATTAATTTCTTTAATAGTATATAAAAATATGCTATCAATCAGTGCTTTGATGTCATATGTATTGTACTACTAGTCAAAAGACTTGTTTTGGGCATAAGTGTGACAAGGAGACAATGATATTAGTAATATGCACACATTAGCCAGTTATTCATGAAAGTCACTGCTCTGACATTGTTTTAGAATGTATTTTTGAATGTTGGTCGGTTGTACATGTCAGATTCAAAAATTGACTCTGAGAAGTGATCAGTAAGTTTGTAAATATTTTTTTCAAACAGTAAAATTCAATCGATGGGTCATAATGGTCCTGTTTGGTTCAACTTCTTGTAAGTTAAAATCTAATAATAAAAAACAAAAGTTAAAATTGCATCTTCCTCAGCATTCCGGTAATTAGTATTTTAAGCTATTTTTTTTTATAAGCTATAAGTGGAAGCAACACTAAACACTCTGGCACGCAATTCCAAAATAAAAGAAGCTATCGGCAGAGCTTTATACACTGCATTGAACAAGGCCAATAAAGTGCGTATGTGCGTAACGTGTTCTACCCTTCAAGTGTATGTATATGTATGTGTATATGTGAATGCTAACTATATCGTAGTGTGATCCTTCTTAGTAATGTAGAATGATATCTCTGTACTTTTGTAGTTTTGATCAAATTGTTTAGTTTGGTCAGTTATTGTTCACTGTCGAGGGTTTTTTTCTTTGTTATTTTTCAGAAAGCTTTGGTTTGATTGACTTTTAGTGGTCCATTTGTATCAAAGGATGGATTTGATGTCTGGGTACAAGGAATTTTCTCTCATTAGTCTGGGTACGAGGTATTTTCTCTCATTAGCTTGCTATTCGGCAGTGTTTACTGTCATCTTTCAATATGGATTTTGTCACAGTTAGTTTTTCAATTGATAACTTCTCATTATTGTGTATTTGGTTTATAATATACATGTCTTGGAATCAATTTTCAGATGTGTTGTTATGGTAAGTGCCATTTTACTAATCTTATGCTTACACGTGATTAATTTACCGAATCGTGTACAAGGGGTTGTTGGGCTTGTCTTTGGAAATGAGAATTCTGCCTCAAGTAAAGATAGGTAAATTGTTGATTTATGTTCATAATAACTATTGCTATAGTGGTGGATTTTGTTTTGTTGATGACTCAAAATATTTATGCAATGCACACCACATAATGCGTTGGCTGGAATTCAATTAATAGTAAAGCCATGTAAAAGATTTGTTTAATTTCATAAAATTTGATATGTCACCTGTTGGTGGTATTGGTCCATCCCAACCACAACTAAAGACTCAGTGATGAAGCAGTGAATCTCTCACCTGTGGTTTAATTATTTTTCATCATCAACTTGATTCGTTTTGGAGTTTTACATATGGTTATTATGTGTTGATCAAGAGAAAAAGATTCCTGAGGTACACAGGTTTTCATTTTATGATTGGTGTCCCGACTAAGGTTGTTATGAGATATCCGTGGATGTATCTTGATCTGATTTGATGAATATGTTCAAGTTGATACCAAAATTTGGTGCATCTTCTATGTGACTTCATTTATAATTCAATACTCTGAAAGGTCCATTTCTGTCCAACTTATTTTTGTAGTTTTATTGTGTTTAGTGCTAAGATGGTGGCAATAGAACAAAATATAATAGGATGTCTGGATTACGCGTCTTAATTTTTCTTCTGCCTTTTCAGGTGCTGAAAACATTTCCTAGTGCAACGAAATACTTGAAAAGTAAGTTGTATTTGATACAATATTCAGTTTGCATTTGCATTCGGCATTAAGAAATAATACTTTATTCATTTTTTGATATAGCAATTGTGAGCTTTGGCAAGGTTACTCCTGAACAAAAAGAAGAAGTTGAAAAGTTTGGTTTGGCTATATATGCTTGGGATGAATTTTTGTTATTGGTAAGCTACTTCTGTTAATCCATTATTCATTTCATATCTGGTTGTTTTGTTAATAATTTTTTGGTTTTGAATAATGCCCATTATTGTACCACGTGAAATTTGTTTCAAGAAACTAGCAGTTTTATGATTTAAATGGAATTTGATTGGTGTATAATTTGTTGAATTCAAAGCAGGGATGCTGGATGGCGTACTGCACATTTTGTATTACAAAAATCATTGTATTGTGCCACTTTATTGCATTTTATGGATCCTTATTTATCTAATAATAAAGTGGTTTGAGGATAACTTAGATGATATGCTGGAGTTGACAGCTGGCACAAGAGGTCACTGGCATTGGTGTGTTTCCATATTGCAGGCAGGCAGTCGTATTGGTTCAGGGTTATGATATAAGGTCAAAAGTCAAAATATGTTTCACTTTAAGATCCAGTTATTTCCATCGTGTTACTTCTATTACATTGGGTTATAGGATAGGTTGAGTACTATTGACTAAATCTGATGGTGCTCTGAAGTAAATTGTGGTTAAATCTGAGGCATTTTGCACTTGAAATGATGTGTGCTATATATACGTTGCCTCTAGTACTGAATGTTAATTTCAAATATTATGTGGTGCATCCCTAAAAAAAATCTGTTCTTGAATTGGAAATTTTTTATAAATCACCAATTGATCTGATACCATTTCCCCAAGGGGGGCTAAGTATGGATGATACTTCCATTGACTATTTATTACTTCGATTTGAATTTCACCCTATCGGTTTTGCAGGGAGATGATAAACAGTATGATCCTCCAGTAAAAAAGAAAAGTGACATTTGTACAATAATGTATACTAGTGGCACTACTGGTGACCCAAAGGGCGTTCTGATTTCCAATAATAGCATTGTTACTCTTATAGCTGGGGTGAGGTGCCTGCTAGGGAGCGTTCATGAATTGGTAAGCATGTGAATCAATTTACATTCATAAATCTACGTGGCAGGCTATTTATTTGATTTAATCTAAATTATTCTGCTTTATTTAGGATTTCTTGCACATCCATTTGAAAATTTTACAGTTGACTGAAAAGGATGTATATCTTTCATATCTTCCTCTGGCACATTTCTTTGATCGAGTGATTGAAGAGTGTTTTATCAATATTGGCGGCTCAATAGGATTTTGGCGAGGGGTAATATGACTACCAATTCTTTTCCTTCCACATTAGAGTTCAATGTAACAATTCGGTGTTTGTTACATCTTCAGGATGTCAAACTATTGACTGAAGATATTGGTGAGCTGAAACCTACTATTTTCTGTGCTGTTCCCCGAGTACTGGATAGAATTTATGCAGGTAAGTTTTTTCTTTCTCAATGGATGCAAATGCGAGTTGGTACATGTTCTGAGCAAAATAGAACCTAAGGTAGCTAATTTGTTGTTATTTTGTGCTGTCTCATTTTTATTTGCATTTAAACAAATGCTGCGGCAAGCTACATAACATGAAGAAGGGGAGTAAACATGTAGATGCAGCTCCACTTTGTGACAAAATTGTTTTCAATAAGGTGGTGGACATATTCTTGTAGCAGTTTTTCATTCTTCTTTTCCTCTTTTACTTTCTCATGGGACCATATATACAAAACTTAATCTTTAATGTGGCTTTCATTTCTTTTTAACTCCATTCTCAGGTAAAGCATGGGCTAGGCGGAAATGTACAGCTTATTTTATCTGGAGCAGCACCTCTTGCTACCCATGTAGAAGCTTTTCTACGAGTGGTGGCATGTTGTCATGTTCTGCAAGGATATGGTATGTTGTCCTTTTAAATCTGTACATATCAATTTAACTTATTTTATCTGCCTTTTTAGCATGTACATTTGAATTTCACTCATTCCTCCCGTTGGAAGTGGTTTTTGTTACTTATCGACCTATTTGAGACAGCTTGCTGATATATGTTTCTTTGTTGCTTAAACTCCACTTGGGAATGAGTTCTATTACACTTCGCTTTGAAGGCCTCTGAGAAAGTTTGATGAAATTTCTTTAAATCCATTACCTCAGTGCCATATTCCCCCTGTTTCTGCCCATGAATAGAGACTTCTACTGATTCAGCACTGGTATCTTCCATTGTATATCCATTATCATACAGTAAACTTAATTTTTTTTTTAATTTGTTTTCTTTCTGTGATGTAGGTCTCACAGAAAGCTGTGTGGGAACATTTCTCTCACTACCAAATGAGCTGGGTATGCTTGGTACTGTTGGTCCTCCAGTGCCTAATGTGGATGTGTGCCTAGAATCTATTCCTGAAATGGGATATGATGCCCTCTCAAGCACACCATGCAGAGAAATATGTATAAGGGGCGATACCTTGTTCTCGGGGTACTACAAACGTGAAGACCTCACCAAAGGGGTCCTGATTGATGGATGGCTCCACACAGGTTTGTCTACGACAGTGTCTTTCATAATTAATTTGATATAGTGCTCATAATTTTCTTTCTTAGTCAACCCTGCCCCTAACAATGTTTGTGTCAGGGGATGTTGGTGAGTGGCAGCCCAATGGGAGCATGAAAATTATTGACCGAAAGAAGAACATTTTTAAGCTGTCACAAGGAGAATATGTTGCAGTTGAAAACTTGGAGAATGTTTATGGTTCTGTTACTGGTATTGACTCGGTATGCCTCTGAACTATTGTAAATATATAAATGGAATATAAGTTTCAGTTTTGTCTCTGTGAGCATTCCAATTGTTGTCAACAAATATGGAATGTATTCGTTGTAGATATTACCAACAATGTCCTTCTAGTGATGAGAGCATGGATTTGTTTAATTTCTACTGGAATGAAAGACACCCCCCATATACATATATTGTTTGATACCTCACCAAATGAACTGCAATAAATATTATGTTATATCACTCCATGACTTGAATAAATAAATTACAGTAACAACCATATGTTTCCAAGAGAACCTCAAATTTCCATCAGAATTTAGATATTCATCTAACAATTACACATACTAGGTTACAAAGAAGGATCACAATTGGGAAGTTTAAATCCCACAAGAAGTATCAATAATACTATCAGTCAGCTAATCTCCATGAAGCAATCCCAAAAAGAAGAAAAAAAATGACAATGGCAAAAAAGATAAAAAGCTAAAAACTAAAACTAGTGAAATATCTAACGCAGTTAGTCTAATGTGAGAATTATACAATACCAAACCATCAACTACTTTTTGTCGCTATTCATGTTGCTCTTCATTTTGTAGCATTTGCAGAGAAGAAAAGAAGCAACAACTGAAGGATGTGACAAAAGAAAGGAGTGGGTTGTGGCCAATTTGCCTGTTTTAAGACATCAATTCTTCTGAGATGGATGATGAATTGGTGCTGATCTTCATGCCTTTGCCGTAAGCAGCAATGAGTAGTGCCTCAGCTCGACCTGCAAGTGCCAGATCCACAGAACATAAAAAGCTATAGAGGACGTAAGTAGTTAGTGTGAACAACACAGGCACAAATAACTCTTTTGCTGAACCAAACGTATCATTTGTTTACCATAAGAAACGATCATTACCCCATGCTGATCTAACCCGGAACAAAACTATACTTCCACTTTTTTTTTTGGTGGCCTCACAGCCCCAGCTTTTAAACCATTGTACAGATAAACTAAAAAACACCAAGATAAGCTGCCATTAGAAAATTAAAAAAAAAATAAAAATCATGTAGCCTACAGTTTGATGGTGATATATGACCCCTTGCCTGTTTTTCAAAACAATGGCAGAATAGGTTGAGGGAATGAATTGCTTGGCTTGCAAATGTGTGCACTGTAGGGGTTTGTGGCTCCTTCAGAGAAAGTGAACTTCCCTCAAACTAGGGTGTTCTGATCCCCAAGCTTTGTTTTCTGTCTTAAGTTTAAACTGTTGAATTCAAAGAACTAAAAGAGGGAGGTGTTCAACAATTTAGACATCCAATTACGACTGTGGAAAAGACATCGCCCTGGTCCGCTATTGCCTTAAAACTGAGCCGAAGCAAGTCAATTTGAAATGTAAATTCGGGAAATTGGCACTGGAGAATACTGATCTTTCAGATCGCTTTCCATTCGTACAATAGTGTATTACAGGGTATTAAGAACACAATGGAATTCAAAGGAGAGTGCAGGAGAATCAAATGAACAAGGAAATAATTCGTTCTTTCCAGGGTTTAAGAACCAGAAAGAAGATGAGGATTGCCTGGCATAGAATTCATCCACACTGATGTCTCATTATGTGGATGGAGAAATTGTTCTGCACAAAGAGGCCGCAACTTGACATAAGTGATGACGCCACCTATCAACGATGTTGCAACATCATTACAATCGATCCAATGAGGATGTTGGACTGATGCTGGTGGGCTGACAAACTTACTTTGCATTGGAGGAAAGTATCTGAAGCTAGATGAATAATGCTACATTGTCAAATATATGTATGACAACATTTCTCTATCAAAGATGGAAGACCTTCAGTCCGGGCATGAAAAACTTTTGACCTCCAAATAAAGCATGACTACAGGAAAAAGAAGACAACTACCATTATGGTAGATGATATACAAAAAAAAACTTGGAAACCCATTTCCATTTTATTGGATAGAGGATGAGAACCACCTAGGAAGAATGGACACTCCAAAATGCATTTTGTGTTTGTGTCTGACACCGACATGATGCGTACGAATGTGTCCACCTGTCAAACACGCCACACCCTCTCCCTTCAAATCAAGTTATAAACAAAGATAGAGTGAAGTCTGACACAGACATGATGAGTACGAATGTGTCCACCTGTCAAACACGCCACACCCTCTCCCTTCAAATCAAGTTATAAACAAAGACAGAGTGAAGGTGAATAAGAAGAGATGATGATAAACACCACTCAAATGTGACCATGATAATATAGGAAGCATAGACATGCATCCCAGGTGCCCACATGCAATGGCGGAGCTAAAAATTCAAGGCAAAGGGGGCACATATGTTAAAATTGATGTATTATTGATTGATATTGTTGTATATTACAAATGGTGAGGGGTTCCTTATATAGGACACATAGTGGAGTAGGTGGAGCAGGTGGTAGTGGTAGGTGTGTAGTAGGTGGTAATAGGTGGTGGTAGGTGTAGTAGGTGGAGTAGGTGATGGTAGATTTTAACAGCCCCCGCAAACTCAAGGGGGATAGGAACTAACCAACTTGAGTTTGGAGAGAGTAACAAAACAAGAAAATAATCTGAAAAATAAAAAATGGATAGGAGACACTGTATGGTCGTGTCAGACCGTTGTAGAAGACTGTATGGTTATGGCAGACCGATGTAGAAGACACTAGCTCGTGTCGGACCGATGTAGAAGACAGTTTATGGGGTCATGTCGGACCGTTGTAGCAGACAATGTTGTGACAGTTGTTGTGACAGTTTACGGAGTCTTGCTGGACCCTTGTAGAAACTAACCGGAATCAATGTCGGGACAGTTTATAGAGTCTTGTCGGACCCATGAAGGAGCTAACCGGAATCAATGTCGGGACAGTTTACAGAGTCTTGTCGGACCCCTAAAAAGTCGCACCCTCAAAAGGTGTGTCCAATCTGTCAAAATGTCGGGACAGTTTACAGAGTCTTGTCGGACCCATGAAGGAGCTAACCGGAATCAATGTCGGGACAGTTTACAGAGTCTTGTCCGACCCATAAAAAGTCGCACCCTCAAAAGGTGTGCCCAATTTGTCAAAAGGCGTGCCATCAAAAGGCGTGCCCAATCCATAAAAAGGTGTGCCGGACATGATGGCGAGGCGCGTGACTACCTTGGCTTGCCCGCCCGTTGTGTCGTCTGGCGTCAAGTGGCGCGCGATGCGCGTGTCTGCCTTGGCTATTTAACCAAGACGGAGGCTGAGGCTGAGGCAGAGGCTGAGACAAAAAACCTGCGAAAATCCTTTGAAAAACTCTTTGTGTTCTGAGAGAGATACTCTGTAACACTCTGTTGCCCCAGAAAAGGCTTTCTTCTTCCGCCCTCTGCTCACTCTCTTCCGACCTCAACGAGTCAACAAGAGAGATAACGGGTGGCGGTGGCCAGTGAACCTCAACCAAACGCTCCGGTTTTGCTCCGTAACTTTCCGATGCGGTCGGTGGAGCAAAAAATGGCGGTGCAAACTGATATTGAAGGCCAAACATATACTTGAAGTCATGTGTGGAGACCATGACGGCGCGTCACAAACTTGTCGCACCGGCTTCAGAGTAGGACAAATGAATGCAACAGTTAACGCGCCAACTGGCTCTGCTCCAACGCATGTGATAAGGATGCGCGAGCAGAGATAAGTGTGCTTAAGGCGGAAAATAAGGAGCTGAAGCGGAAGGCCACCGTTATGTTCCGATTTGGAGGGCGCCCATATGCTGTAGTGGAGGAGCAGTGTGAGTGAACGTGCTCGGCGGCGTGGGAAACACGGAGGCAGCACCGTCAAGGACTGTCCAAGGAGGCAAGAAGAAAGACCGCGGAATGGCGAAGAAGTGAGGTCGATTGAGTGGCGGCTGCAGAAAAGAAAAACAACTTTTGGTGTTGTTGTGGTGGTTTGTTGTTGTTGTTGTTTTTTTTTTTTTTTTTTTTTGTGTAAAAATTGTGTCTGGGTGATCCCTAAGGATGACATTAAATATTGATTTGGTGTGCAAAGCTATATGGTATGAATGGAATGGGAAAAAGATTAAAAATAATGTGAAAGAAAAATAAAGAAAGAAATAATAAAAATATATTTGAAATCAAAAATGAAAGATGGGGGAAATAAGGAAAGTGGTTTGGAGAAAATAAATAAAAATAATGGAGTTTGAAATCAAACGGAGGAGAGATGATGATTTTTTATTTTTTTTTAATATAATATAATAAAAAGAGATATATATATATATATATATATAAAATAAAGAAAGTGGGGAACAAGAGTGTAATGAAAAGAAACAATATAGGTTGGAGAATCTGAGCATCGTGGGTCACATGGGTGAGTGGTGGTAAAGGAAGTAAAAGAAAAAAATAAAGAAATGAGTGGGTGTTTGGTCAGACATGGGGGTGATCAAAGAGAATAAAAAAATAGAGGGTGAGAAACATGAGGATATGGGATAAAGCCGAGAAAAAGTAAAAAAATAAATAAAGAAAAGAAAAAGTAGATCGGCTTAGAATTCATTACTGAATTCAAAGAGAATAAAAAAAAAAAATAAAGGGTTCGAAAGTGGAAAATAAAGAAAAGAAAAGAAAGGGGATCATGTGGTGGAAAGAGAGTGAGAGAGAGTGTTAGCAGACGAGCAAAATCAGCATTCTGCAACAGAGATTCCATTTCAATTTCCAATCTACCCACAAGAACCCGAATGCTATCGAAGTCTTTAATCGCAATATAAGTCCCAATTTGCATTGAACTAATGATCTCCCTCTCTCCTTTCACTTCATTCTCATACTTATTCCAAAGAGAATCAAACCATTTACCCATTGTTCCCAGCGGAACTGCGGCCGCAGCTGCCAAAGCCGTCACAACCGGGGGCGCTGCAACTGCCGTCGCCACGACCGAGCAAATCAAAACAGCCGCGAATGCAACAGCGAATATAACACTCGAAACCTTCCTCCACAACTTCAAGGACTTTAATTTCTTATCGAGCTTCTTCTTCTTCAATTGCAGCTGCTGTAACATCGAAATTTGATTTTTGTAAACAGACTGAAACAGAGAGAAGAACTCCTCTGTAAAAGGGTCTCCGGCCGCCTTGAAGTTCTTCAATTCCTGCAATGTTTTGGCGAAACAGTCGTCATTATTATTATTGATTCCTTCCCTCTGTTGTTGTTCGAGCTCGAATTGCTACAACGCAACTTGAACGATGACTTGCCTCTCTCGAGCTCGCTTGAGGCATTTCTCGAGAGCAGTACAGAAATACAGAGTCAATAGACTGTTCTCAAAATACTGTTTAACAAGATCGAAGAGCTCTTGGTTGTTCCAAATGTCTTGCTTGCAATCGAGGATGACTTTGACGACTTCCTGGTTCATCTCGAGCAAACAGCCGGTGACTTCGCGGAGGGAGTCGAGGGAGAGTGATCGGACCTCGACGCCGACGGCGAGGGTGAAGAAGAAGTTACAGTCTGGGTATGTGTAGAGATCCGGCGGGCGGCCAAGGTGAGGCTGCCGCCCGCTGGTGAAGCAGAATGAATAGGTTCTTAACCTTGCTCTGATACCATGTTAAAATTGATGTATTATTGATTGATATTGTTGTATATTACAAATGGCGAGGGGTTCCTTATATAGGACACATAGTGGAGTAGGTGGAGTAGGTGGTAGTGGTAGGTGTGTAGTAGGTGGTAGTAGGTGGTGGTAGGGGTAGTAGGTGGAGTAGGTGATGGTAGATTTTAACAACATATTATTCACATCATTGAAAAGAAGGGGAAAAAAACCCCACAATAAACAACGAGATACTATTAAATTTATACATTTTTTTGAGGGTCTATTGTTGAGATTTAATATTACAATTATCGTGAAAATTACATTAATATAGCTTAGAAATCCACAATCAACAACCCAACTGAATTTATGATTAACAAATTCAACACTATTAATCAACTCAACAAAAAATCCCATTATGGAGAAAAACAATCAACTAAACAAATCCCATAATAAAAAATAAACGTTCAATTAATTCAATTCTTACCATTGACTTTCCAGTCCAGGGTATAAAAGAATGAACAAAAAAAATATAATAGAGCACTTTTAAAATTTTTAAAACGAATTTTACATTATTTAAGGAGGGACACTATTATAATTTTATAAAGGACACAAAAGATATAAACTTCATATATAAGGGAAATAGTATAAATATGAAAAACTTAGGGGGGCATGTGACCCCCCCGGTACTATATTGGCTCCGCCGCTGCCCACGTGAGACTTGTTGGACAACAACATATGTTCACCCATGCATTCACACATCCTTCTATTTTATTTTTAATTTTTAATAATCTGGACACTTCTTGAGCATGCAATCTGCACGTGTTAAATTTTTAAGGTTTTGTCATACATGTCTAGGGTTTTGTGGAAGGTTTAGCAAAAGATAAAATAAGAGGCAATCTAATAGAATAAAGCCCTGCCTCAAAATAACATTAGAAACAAAAATAGAATAGGAATACGAAGAATTAATAAGCACTACTCAAGTTTGGCAACGAGACAGTTTCAGCTAGCTGAGACGAGGTCGGTTATAACCACCCTAGTTCTTAAATGTGCCTTCATCTTTTCTAGATTCTATAGTTTCCTATATGTGTATGTGTTCTCTCTTTTGTAGATTCTATAGTTGTCCTTTGTTTTTGTTTTTGTTTTTTTTGTTTTGTTTTGACATATTTCACAGTTGTTAAATATACCCATTAGTCCTTGAGCATTTTATTTTTTGAAACCGTACACCCTATTAGTTTACTATCTATATATAAATACTTGGGACTTTCAAAATGGAAATTGGGGTATTTTGCTCCCAATTCTTTTCCAACATATAAATGACACTAATTAAGTTACTGTTAGAAATTCTAGTATCTGTATTCATGTTATGTCATATTTGTGTCATGTGTCTATATTGTGTTTACCAGAGAACAATCCCAAGTTATCAAAAAAAATATATATATATATATATAAATTCTAAGTTTCAAAAAGGCTGAAATTTTATGAAGTCCAAATATCAAATTTTAAATGCGTTGAAAAAGTAAAAATAAAAGTGTCTTCTCATGTTAGTACATAAATGCCTATAAAGGTGCTAATTGGAAACTTGAAATGCAATTCAGCATATATCTATGCTATAGTTAAGTAGAACCAACTCAAGGCAGGAACAGCCCAGTGTGTTTTTAACTCCCGTGATGAGACAAAATAAATAAAAAACAAACTGTTGTCTCAATAATTTCTCCATAAAATTTTGCGAATTCAGTACACCTTGATTCAGAAAAAATAATTCAGCATTCCAAATGCCCTCCCCTTACTGAAATTTCCAACAATCTCATTTGCATATCCTTGGGTTGGTTCAAGGTATTATTGCTTTGCTTCTTACTTGAGAAGATCTTTTACTGTTAAGCTATATTTGCTAGCAAAAGAGCCTATACTATGTAGTTTCCTTCTGTCTTTATAGCAAACAGAAGTCATTAAAGAGAGCAAAAAGGAAATATGTATCTAGGAGAGTAATATACCATGATCTTTCTTCCTTTTCAACAGGGAACTCATAGATGGAAATAATGTGGATGCAGCTTCCCTGCTATCATCCTGCCAAATTTGGACATCTTTGATAAATTAAAGGATGCATATATAATTCTCATAAAATAGCATATAAGTTCTAAGAAAAAAATGAGTATGAATGATGGCAGTATTAGCATCTTCTTTTCAAGTATTTTGTTGTTGGGTTCGTAAACCCATCAACCTGTCATTTTTTGTTGAGTAGTGCCATTCCCATTTGTAAACACGTTGGAAGGTAGTAAGAATTCCATGGGCAACAATGAGAGTGGGTTGAATTGTGTTGGGACTCTTGGTGATAACTCATCTGTTCAGATTAATCCTGTCAAGTAGGATGGCAACAACTATTTGATTTGATCATACTCTTATAGCTTGGCAATCGTCTCTCGTAGCCAAACTAGTTGATTCAACATCTAGTGCATGACTAAACAAGTACATTAATCTTTAGAAGTACAAAGCAAAGTCTGGGTCCAATGATCATTAAGAAGCCTTTTTGATCCAAAGAAAAGTGTTCATGACAGTGTTTAGTGGTTATACGATATTTTAGTAATTTCATATTTGCTGAACATGGGTTGCGGGGTGGCTCATGGATTTTCTTTTGGGTCCAGTTATTAAGTGGATCATTTTTATGAGTTTTATTATATCCAGAATAGTGTTAGTGGTAAAAAGATCGAAGTTTCTTATTTTGATTTCATATCATAGTTGGAGTAGAATTAGAAGTTATAGCTATAGTTAGTCTAGAATACTTGTAGTTACTAAATATTCTTAACTTCTGGATCTAGTCCTTGTAGAAATAGTAGTCTTTAGCCTATAAAAATTCTTTTCTCCATCTTTATTATCTATGCTAGTATAAAAATTGCCATAGATTTTGAACATCTGTAGCTGTATATTGCAACCTCCATGATAATCCTAAGACCTGAAGATGGGAGGAAGAGGCTGAGTAGTATACTACAACTGTTGATTGGAACATTTTCAGCTTAGAGTACCAAAGCCATATTAAAGCAACCACTACAAGCTCATGCATTTTTAAACCCTTGACATGTAAGTTTTGGGTCAAACAGGCGAAGGCTACTCAGCTTCTTCCATTAGGATTCTCATTCTTGAACATGTGTGGACTGCCTTATGGTAATTAAAGGCTTAAAAAACACAAGTTAGATCACAGTGAACCCTATATCTGCAGTAAATTTTTAAAAATGAGTTTGATATCGTAAGGAATATATTCTTATTGTCTAGTGAAAAACAATGAATGAAACTTTACAATAATTAAACTTAATCTTAGTGCAAGTTTCTTCAGAATTTTAATGAAGGGAATTTCAAAGTAAACAAATATTTATGTATACTCACATTATTACATATATAACCTAAATGAAAGGTGAGACATGCTTATGCCACTTTGTGAAGCATCAAGCGCACCTTACTTGAGCGGTTTCCGGAGAGTTTGAGCTCATTCTTCCATACAGAAGATGGCACAGGAACAACAGAAAACCCTGATGCAACTAAGATCCCAATCCACAGTCCATATCCAAATCCTCCACCCCACCATCCCTTCATTGCAAAAGAAAATAATATGCATCATTGATGGTGAAAATTTTGTTGGCAAACACAAGAAGCCAAAGGGTTCTATGTTCAGAATGTACGACAGCCCAAAAGAACAAACAGAGATTAGGTAGGATCCTTCTGCCGCGAAGACACCATAGAAAGTACTTGCACAAAATTTGGTCCTGTTTGGATTTGTTTGTGTTCTTAATTTCCCTATTCGATGTTTTCAAAATGTTTAAAGACTAACAGTTGTTAAACAATATTCAGAAGATGACAGTGTCATTTTGAAACAACAATCAGAACATGTTCCAATTAGAAAACAAAACCTAGAAACAAGTTTCACATCAGTGGTCATAAAAAGTGTAGATAACAAAGGGTGTCCATAACTGAGTCACACGCACACACATGTACATATGCAGAATGTGCGCACAATATCTCATGGGGACAGACTTGAGAGACGCTTGGGAAGTAATTAAGTCTTGAACAGATAACAAATAAGAAATGTGGATAGTTCTCCGTCCCAAATCTAATATTAATTTTAAAGTGCCATAGTGAAAAGGTAGCTGCCATATCAGTAAATCTATAGAAGCAAGAATGAAAAGCACATAACAATTTTTTCCCTTGATATATGGAAAAAGCACACCATTTTAACCAGATTCAAATTCAAGTTGGATCACTGAGAAAGTGGCCCAAGGCCATGAGCAATTTAAAAACAGCATGCTGAAAGAACATTTATTTGCTGATACATGCATTCATTGGCATAAGAAAAAATGCTCAAAAAAAAATCAATCCATGTACTAAAAAATATTGAATAGTCGTTAGAAACTTCTAATTGTGAAGGATCAAATGCTCATGAGCATATGAAAAAATCATATACGTAAAAAAATGTTTTGGAAATAAACTAACAGACATAACATACATGACATCAATGCCATGCAAGGTCTGAAAAGAGAAAGAATCAAAATATCAGCATTATCATAACAATAGTGATGACAACAACAAAGACCAACTGCTGTGCAGCAGTATTAATTCCTAATGCAACACAAATAATTAGCATTTCTATCGATTAGGAATTTTTGCTAACCTGTTTACCATCTTGAGGAAAAGGTATTGATTGCTCTACATATGCAGTAGTCCCTGAATTAAGAAAATCTCAATTCAGTATAGATATCTTTCAGCATGGAATGCAGTTGAAGAATAGTACATGACAACAATTATCTTGGAACCATAACAGAATTAACAATATAATTGAAGAACAATACATGATATAACTGTACATGGTCTTGGATAGAGCTCAACCCCAAAAACTAGTTATTAGGGTGAGGGTGCCCTCACGCTTATATGCTTAACATCACTTTAGGGGGTGCTTAGGGAGACGGATTTTTGGCTTTTTGGGCTAAAATAACAATAAAAGACAAAATATGCTAAAATAGCCAATAAGCAAAATGTCACATCAAACCCATAACCATTTCACTTTTTCTCTCACAAGTTAAGTGCTGGCTTAGTAAAGCTCTGTGGGTTGATTTTGTTTGCTTTACTGAAAAAATGTTTTGCATAAGGGCTGGTATATGCTGTCTTCTGATGTTCTGTGCATGAGCCCTGGTATGCTATGTGCTAATTCTGATCTGTTTTGAGATGGTCGGTGTTCATTTGGATACTGATCTGTTTTGATTAAGTTGGTGAATTATGAGTTAAATTGGGCTGCTGTATGTTGTTTGATCCCGAAGCTGTGTTGAGATGAATTTGATGTGCTGGTTGCATGAAATGATGATCTGCTGGTTTATGGGTATTAAATGATGATCTGCTGTGCTGAAGTCTGGTGTCAAAGGCTCCCATGTTTTGCCTTTCGCTGGGCTTTTGGTCTGGTTTGAATTAATAAGACTGAATTCTGTTTTCATTCAGTGAGGTGTTCAGCTTGATGCAGCCCATGGTATGCTCTCAGAGGAGGGTGTTTCAGAATTCAGTGTGCTCTTGGTCTGTGCAGAGGAGTGTGTTCTATAAAAGATTTGAATTAAAAATCAACAAAGGATAACATTTTCTCAGATTGATGAGGCTTTTAGAATCTCTTGCAAGTAGACAATGCTGTCGTTGAAAGTTTCAAAGAGCTTATTTGAAGTTGTATGTTTGGTACTCCTTTATGCCTCTATAGGAAGTTGTTTTGAGCTAAGTAAGCTACTTGTTGTGATGCTCATTTGACGATTATGTCCAAGGGAGGGAAAGAAGGAAGAAAGAAGTTCAATGTTAGAATTCCTTCTCTCAAGTGTTCTTGTCTATTGGATGCATAGGATTAGTCACTCTTGTCATTTTGTCACATTCCTTAGCCTTGCTTTGGAAGACATCCTTTGCCAACCTATTGGTCTCATCCCAACAACATGAGTACTTTTCTGCACAAGTATGTAGGTCAGAGGTGAAGTGGCTTGGGAAAATGGGGAACTATCTAAGCTTTAGCAAGAGGATATGGGTACTTGATGGGGGTTGTCATCTTTGCACATGTGGTTGTTTAGCAAAGGTTGCAGCTTCAATGAATTCAAAGAAGGATGAGTTGTAAGATTCATTTTTCGAGCAAGGAAATGCAGCACATGTTCCTCATCTATGGCTGTACGTGAGAACTGTCATTCCATCCCAAGTGGTGTTAAATACCAAAACTTTTTGACAAGATTCCTAAAGGGGGAGTTCTGACGTAGTAAAATAATATCTTTAAATACAAGTGTCATTAGTTGGTTAAGTGTCAATTGTGGTTGTCAGTGGTCTTAGTCTATAAATAGATGATGTAAGGATCATAGTACTTAATTTTAATTGAAGATTGTAAAATATTGACTAGAGCTAAGTGCTCTGGTTTTCTCTCTAACCATTGGGGTTATCCCTAGGTTGGGTTTTTTTCTTCTCTATCTAGATTTGATATTTTTGGCCGTTGATATAGTCAAGTGGAGAAGATGGATTTATATAGCCGACCCTATTTGGTAGGACTTAAGGCCTAGTTTAGTTTGGTTTGGTTTGGCTTATCAAGATTCGATATTTTGGTTGAGATAAGAAGAAAAAAGGAGAGAAAGGGGGAGAGAGAGAGTGGCAAATATTATAACAAACCAACGGGAGCATCAAAACTCTTAAGCAACTGGACAATGGATTTAGCATCTAAACGTCGTCGGATCCTTTTGCCCACCAGTACTTTTAAGTGAGGAGAATCAAATACCTACAAGATGAGAGAAAATATTATTAAAATTAACTAATGAACTAGATTGTTTTATCAAGAAAGAAATACCATTCTAAACAAGATAATGGAACTTATGGAAGTCTTGAAGGAAATCCTAAGTTGAAAGAAAGAAGTCAAGTTTTCAATTTCTAAAATAGTCCTCATACAAAATAAGGTCAGAACCAGTACACAAGGCTCCCCCACTTATAGCACGATTTGGGAGAAATAGTAGGTAGGCAACCTTACCCTCGTTTTTTTGTAAATACGTTGATTCCTGTGACTCAAACCTACTCCACAACGCTAGGAGCAGATAGTACTTGTCATCATGCCCTATGTTACTTGGACTTGGGTATGGGTGCATATCTAGAGGTCGGATCCATTGAATTACAAATTTAAGGATATGCAAACTCAGCAAAAATGGTCATATTTTTATATTTTTAATATGTTATGTGAGATAAAATAGTGCTATATGTAACATAGTGTCAAAATGGCAATTTACTCATTTTATAGCAATTATACAACAATATATACATATAATGATTTTTATAAAAAGTCTCATGGAAAGTATCATAAACATATCCCATGCCTTGGTCCAAGTGTCGGGTGTCCAACATGGGTATTTGATTTATTTTGAAGAGTCTATGTAACATAGATCATGTCTGTCACAACATGTAAAATACTCATTCCCCTTAATTTATGAACTTAAACAACAATTCCACATGCAAAATATTAAGGTTATCATGTAGTTATAGAAAGAACGAACTACAAAAGGTGGTGGAGTTATGGTGGGTTCAAATTGAACAATAGCTAAAGCGAAACAAGGGTATTCGTCCATGTGCTAGCTTTTCTATTCAAGAAAGATATCATCTCAGTTACAAAAAGTTCCACGAACTAGGGTAATCTAGAAGCACGGGTGCGGGTACGTTATGGGTACACTGATAAAACCAAAAAAAAAAAGAAAAAGTAGAGTGCAAGTACGGTCCGGTATGTCAATAAAAATATATATTTTTATAATTTATACTAATACATGATATAAAATAATTAAAAAAAGAATTGTAAAAAAGAATTAAAGTATTTTTGCAACGGTCAAAAAAAAGAAGTTTAAGTATTTTTTTAATATGTAAAAATACCTTATATTTTGAAAGTTTTAAAAAATAGGCACGATATAAGAATTCTAGTATTTAAAAAAAAAAAATTACATTTATGCACCAAAGCACCCATAAAAGTATCCGTGTTGTACTTGTCCCGTACCGGAGTTATACCCATAACATACCTAAAGTATTTTGCATATCAGACATGTATTGCGCGTACCCGTTACGCGTACTTGTATCACGTAAGTATCCAGTACTTGTACAACAATAGTTTTGGATTAACCATGCTTCATAGAGGGTAATATAGTGATCTTGCTTTCTTCAATTTTAGCGCTAGGTCGACAACTCCAACAAGGGAGGTCTACGTCATTTTAAAACCAAATAGGAAGTTTTTTGTATGTAAGCCAAACCTCAAGGCAATATTACCACAATACAATAAAAATTGACTTCTGAAATTTTTATATATATATACATGCGTGTGTGATGTGTACATATATGTAAAGTAGCACAATGGTGGTTACTTTGCACCATAGCCTAAGTTGGTTACCTTTCACATATAAGCCCCGTTTGGTAAAAACTTGTTTGTAGCTTAAAGCCACTTATAGCTTAAAATAAGTTCTTTTAGAGTATTTGGTAAAAATTATTTCACCAACTTATAGCTTAAATAAAGCTAATTTTCAACTTATTTTCTAAGTGGGTCTTCAGGTGCTTAACGAGATAGCTTAAGCGCGCAGCTGTTATACAGGGTGCTAAAACGACTTAAATGCCCCTCCTAATCTCCATTATTTACGAAAATGCCACTATATATACACCACATCTCAACACTGTTCACGAACCAGAGAGAGAAGCATGCGATTTCCGGCAATGTCTGGCGATTTCCGGCGACGTGTCGCTCGCTCCGGCGATGAAACAAAGATCTCTCTCTGCTCTCTCTCTCCCTCGCTCTCTGTCTCTCTCTCTCTCTCTCTCTGCGCTACATCCATGGCGCCGGTCGATCTCGAGTTCGTCGCCATCGCGATCGCGAAGCTCTATCTGTCTGAACCAACGCCGTCGTCGATCGATCTGAACCAAGCTTCGTCGTCGCGATCTGAACCAACGTCGTCATCGATTGATTTGAACCAAGCTCCGTCGTCGATCTAAACCAACGCCGTTGCGATCTGAACCGTTGCCGGTTGTCGCCCCTGTGCTTTTGAAACACTAGAAAATAAATTGAAAAAAAATTGAAATAAACTGGAAAAAAAAAGAAAAATATCAATATTAATATTAATTAAAAAAAAAAAAAATACTTTTTCAAATTAATAGTTAATATGAAAAAAAAATTTAAAAATTACTTTTCAGAATTAATATTTAACACAATTTATTAGAATTAATATTTACTTTTCATAATTAATATTTACTAAAAATGAAATATTACTAAAAATAATTAAAATGAATAATAATAAAGAATAATAATAATATGAAAAATAATAATTAATAATAATTGATGGACAAAATGATACTAATTTTAATATTTACAACAATTTATTTCAATTAATATTTACTTTTCATAATTAATATTTACTAAAAATGAAATATTACTAAAAATAATTAAAATGAATAATAATAAAGAATAATAATAATATGAAAAATAATAATTAATAATAATTGATGGACAAAATGATACTAATTTTAATATTTACAACAATTTATTTCAATTAATATTATTTTACAGCTTATTTACCAAACACTACTCTGCTACTTAAATCCATAATCTCACAGCTGCACCAAACAGGTTACCAACTTATGTTCACAGCTATAAGTTATAATCTGTTAAACTATAATCTATAATTACTTTCCCACAGTTCTACCAAACAGGCCCATACTGTCGAATTTTGGTCCAATGGCTAAGGTATGTGAAATACTAAAATCTAATTAAAAAAATAACTAGATTTTACCCAAGGTAACTAGATTAAAAAAAAAAAAAAACTCTTTAAATTTATTTAATTTAATTCTATTGGGGACGGAAGAGGCAACCATATGCAGATTGAATCAAGATAAAGTAGTGTTAGTTTGTATTTCATTACAATGAAATTTACTGTTCAACCACCCACATGAAGGTTGATGTGCATCTAAAACAACATCCTGAGGATTATTTTATGCTGTTTTGGACAAAAAAATACATCAAAGTGAAACAAAACACACACACAATACAGTGAAGCAGCCCACTAGCGCAGGAGGAGATGCCAAAAAAGCTTCTTCATTCACTGTTAAGTTATGAACTGGCCTTACTACAGCTCTATTGCATTTTCAGTATTACTTCTGTTGCAATATGGCAGATAATTGGGAGTAGGAAAAGAGGAGAGGGATATCAGAGTAACTCTGAAGCTATCATGGCCTTTTGTGCTTATGTTGAATGTCTTCCTTTCATAACATTCATCAATGGTTGAATTACAAGCCTTCTATACATAATCAGTATAATCTTGTGGGCTTCACAAAATTAACTAATTACGACTGTGATGAATGATTACATAAGTTAATGTTTAGGTTTTTTCTAAACTAGATAGTTGATGAAAAGAACTTGCAAATAAAAATACTACGGAGATCTTTGAATGCACCAAAAAACTTGTTTGTCTAATTTCCTTCATTACCTTCTTAACTATTATTTCCCCTATAAGTAAATAAGTAAAATCAAGATAACTTTAATTTAAGATTTTTTAGCATCTCACACACCTAAGCTATTGGAAAGAAATATGATGGCATGTGTAAAAGGTAAGCACCAATAACTTTAATTTAAGATTTTAGCATCTCACACACCTAAGCTATTGGAAAGAAATATGATGGCATGTGTAAAAGGTAAGCACCAAGGGTGTGGTGCAAAGTAAACACTATCCTACTACTATGTATATTTAAATGTATAAGAGCCTCCAAGTTTGTAAGTAGTAATTAGGCTAAGCTATAGGGTAATTCTAGGTTTCACAACATTCACTAATCAAAAAATGTGAAGAATCAATAATCAGCTAAGCAACCAACAAGGCCCTCATACGACCATGGGTGGAGCTAAGATATCATTATTTTGTGTGTGTGTGGTGATTTGTCGAGTGGTCCGCTAGGTACAGAATGCAGGCAAAAGTTAAGGCATTAGACTAGTTCAAGCGGTCAGTCATGACAAGTTTAAACAACTTAAATAATTATTAAAATCAATAAATCACAATCAATAATTATTAAACAACTTCAATGTAAATAATTATTAAAATCAATAAATCACAATCAATAATTATTAAACAACTTCAATGATGCCACTAGAAATATGTAAATCAAAAGGTGTTTAAAAATAGGCTATTTTAGTTGACTTTTTGCCTTTCACGAAAAGACATGTAAAAAAATAGAGAGAATGATGCGATTGGGTGTTTTGGCTTATTGGCTATTTTAGCCCCATCCCAATTTGCCAAATGAAGCTGTAATATCACACAATTCAGATAATACATGAATGGTATTGAATTACATATGACACTGTGTAAAACGAAAATACCGTGTACTCTTTTGAAACTACACCATAATGATTCATAATAAAACCATAATAGTTCTTAACTTTTCTCACCACAATAGTTCGTAACATGCCAATGTTCATAACATAATCACAATGGGAAAGAGAAATAATTATTATCGTAAGAAAAATATGCTTTGAGGATGCTATGTGTATTTAAATATACTATGCAGGTAGAAAATATAAGAAGTTTGGGGAGAGGGGAGCGGTAAATATAATTCGATTATACAAACTTCTTTAAACTTGTACACAATATATAAGGTTTTGTGGATCTTACTAGGAGCATGACATGAAGTGGAGTGGGAGTGAGACCTGCTCAAGGACTCTACAATCAATGAAGGAAGGAGATAGACATAAAAACTGAATAAATAGACCAAAAAGCATAGAAGCGAGAACCTGATGTGAAAGTATAAGTAAGAAATCAGACCCTAAAATATCTTCATTATCATACATTCCCAAGAACCCATTAACTGAAAAAATATCTCTAACTCATCCTCATCATGCAACCAAAGGACCCAAGCCCCGGTGTACCAACTTTGAAATTTTTTCTCATAGGACAAATATATAGTGTAAGTGGTGACCACTGAATTCCAATGCTCAAAAGGTAGCAGGATAACATGATTTGCTGAATGTTATGCTATGGAAGAGTTGGCCTATGAAGAAGAACGACCTTGTTCCACGAAAAAGAAACTAGTTATTAGCTCTCCAAGAGGGACTGGTGCATTTAAAATGGAACTTGCATCCACTATCCACCAACAATTTGTTGAAGGATTTAGCTGAAAAGTATACAGATTTGCTTGAAAGCTACATGCTGACCTTCGCATTCAAGCACGTTGTTAAGCCTTATATCTCATAATGTTTCCAATTACATCTTCCTAGAAGCCGATCTCGCAGATCCTTTGCATCTAAGAAGCACGGACACAATGATACGGATGTGGACACGGGGATTTCAAAAAAATGGGGACACAGACATGGTGGGGGCACGACAATAAAATATATTTTTATTTGCTATCTAGATTACTATTACATCCACAACCAATCAATATTAACAAAAACAAACTCTAATTCTATTTTTTTTTTTTAAAAAAACACTTTTAAATTAATACTTACAGTTTATATCTTGTTTTATGGATGATCTATTAATTAATTAAATATAAGAAAATAATAATAAACATTCAATATTCAATCCCCAGTGTGTCCCCAAAGTATTCCAGGTGTGTCCCCTAAAAATATATAATTAAATAAGGGGACACATCATGTAGTGTGTCCCATACGTGTCCCCGAAGTGTCCGTGTGTCCAACACAGATACGTCACTTGTTTTGAAGTGTCGGTGCTTCATAGGTCACCGCCAAAGACAATGGACGGATGATTATTGTGAAAATTAATAATAATAATAATAATAATGCAAAAGGTAGCATAAATTATTTTCCCCTAAGAAATAATAATAAATAAGAAAAGTATCACCTCCTTGGTTCCATCTACCCCAGTACTATACGTTAAAGTTGCCGTCAGCTTTCCTAGTCCATATGAAGTTGCTTCTAAGATTCTAGAATTGGACAACGCATGTTTAACAGCAATATCATCTGAAATTGGGAGAGTATTCCAGAAACCGGACTGATCGTCATGCAACTTAACATCATCATTCTGCAAAGAAAGAAATTCTGAGCGAAAGGAAACCAAAAAAATAACTGGTAAGGGATCAAATGAGCAATAAGAATGTACAATGGTAATGAATGACATTAAATTCACAAGTTAACCACACTGAAAAAGTAAGATAAGATAACAAATAAAGAAAAGACAACTACATCAAACGAATCTTTAAATAAATGGAATGACAAATATAGAGAATGATTGCCAAACCCAATGTGTGAGCTTCATTGCTTTCTTTCACAATGTTGTGGACAAATCCATGCAAGTCTATATTTTCCTAATCAAATATAACTCAATATAACCATGGAAATTGGTTACTCTTTTTGGATCCAATAGATGTAGCTTAGAAGAAGTAACACAAAAGTGCTGCAAAAATATGAAGGATCTCTAAAAAATAAATAAATAAAATCTTCTTTTGAAAATTGACTAACTCAAGGACTAGTTCAACAACCCAAGGTGTTAGTCTTGTTGAATTACTTTAACTCCCCAACAAAAATGATTTATAAACACACAAATCTACCCTTTTGTTTCTACATTTGCCATTTACCTTCTATCATAATTACTCTCCTGTCCTTAACAATTTCAATCAATTATATACAGAGTATATAGACTATACATCTTACACTAATGATGAATTAAAAATAATCTTTGTTCCACCATACATATAAGATAAAAAAATATGTATAGATGGATTATATGAAAAATATCAGTGTGATTGTTTCAAAAATAAAGTGGGGGTATGTAAAAAGGAGGAAAAGTGATTTGGAAAAAATAAATAAAAAATAAGTGATTTTAAAATCAAATGGAGGAGAGTTTGAGTAATAGAATATAATAAAAAGAGATATATATATATATATATATAAAATAAAGAAAGTTGGGCGGTGGAAAATGTGATGATGGTGTTGGGTGGTGGAGAAAAGTGAGAATAGAAAAGTTTATATAAAATTGGGGTAGTGTTTTATAATAATGAAAATAAAGGTGAGATAGTGGATGTCGTGCATGTATGTGTGGTGGAAAAGTGAGGCATTCATCTTATTAAAATATAGAAAGTGGGAGTGTGTGGCAGAATAGTGTAGCAGTGTAGTGTGGGTATTGTTTATTTTAGTGTATTTGTTTATGTGTCAAAGCTGCCGAGAGAGTTTGTTTTTTTTTTTTTTTTTTTTTTTTTGTGAAAGGGAAATATCGTGGGGCATGGGAAAGTGAAAGAAAAATAAAAAGAAATGAAAGAAATAATAAGAAGATGTGAGTGCGTAGGGAGTGGTGTTGTGTAAAGGGAAAAAAGTGGGGCATGTGGGTGGATTATTAGAGAGAGAGAAAGAGCTTGGTGCTTGTCGAATTTGGGGAGGATGAAGCACAGAAGCACCTCAGTTTAGCGGAAGTCAAGCCAATTGTTGCTCTGAATTTGCCGGAAATGGAGTTCATCAAATGGAGGTCTGTGGGTAGTGGTTGTCGCCGGATTTGGAGAGCTTCCATCAACATGGAGAGAGAGAGAGAGAGAGAGAGAGAGGGTTTATCGGTTCAAATTAGTGCCATGGTTGGTGCCATATTCCCTCCCTCTTTTTTCTTTTTCACATGTTTGGTTTTGTATTTGTCACCCAAAAAAAATAATAATAAAATAAATAAAATAAAATAAAATTTACAAAAAATAAAATAAAATAAATTTTAAAAATAAAAATAAAAAAGGTGTAAATTACATTGACACCCCTGATGTTTTTGTTTAATACAGATCCTCTCACGTTTGAAAAATTACATTCCCCTTGAGATTCGTAATCTTATTACAAATTACCTTAGATTGTTGATGTCATACTTTAAAATTTTCTAAATGACTATTTTGTCTTTTTTCTTACCATTTCTTATTTATAGCATCATGATTACATTCTATAATTTTTCATCATTAAATTATACTTGACACTACAACATTTTCTTAGTTCAGTAATACTTGAAAGTGCTACAAAACTATTCCTCTAGTAACATGTTTTAGTCTTGCGGCGTTTCAACAAGTGTAATGTATACCCATGCCACAGTAGATACTAGCGGCATTTCGGTGACATTTGCAAGTACCACTACGCCATGAAGGCTAGGCTTTCACTGACATTTCAATATCATGTTACACACAATTTGTGATACTACCAAACACCATTAGACAAGACTTACAATCTAAAAAATGACACTACATACTTTTTTAATGGCACTTCTTATACCACAATTAATATTATTTATGAACAATTGAGTGCCATATTAGACATTATTTATGACACTTTTATGCATGCATCTGGTGACATTTCCAAGTGTCACTAGATTTTTCACTAGTGGCATTTAGAAATGTCACCTTATCTTATTTGTTGGTACTCATATGCCACATTTAGGGTTTGCCTGGGAAGTGGGTTGGTTTTTTGACTTTTTTTTTACTATTTTAGAATTGGGCTAAAAAATCTCGTTTGAGAAGAGTTTTTGGTTTTTTTGTGAGAGAAAAAATGTAATGATTATGGATTGAATGTGATATTTTGTTTTTTGTGGTTAAAAAGCCTATTTTGTTTTTTGCGACTATTTTAGCCAAAAAAGCAAAACCTTTGGCTTCCCAAACAAAGCCTTTGTGGCATTTGTGACTGCCATTAAAAATTTAAAAATAAACACACACAAAAAATTAGTACAACAAAAATTCCATTAATCAGTCTCATATATAAGCTAAAAATCTATAATTTCATTTGTATAATACAACTATAACGTTCATAACACTGACACAATACAATAAAAACAATATCTAACTCACTCAAAAATATTTCAAATAAAAAATATTACAACTGCTTCAAATAATTCATCACGCTGCATTATCTTCTATCTTCAATGACGGTTAAAACACCAATCCCATTTGATTTTAAAAATTTTAAAAAAAATGCTAAAAATGCTGATTTTCTCACATCGGCTTTGAGTTTTGCTACAAAGCTCTCTGAAGAGCTTCATGTTTCATCATACCTCCCAACATGTAAACATATCCATTGGTGCTTCTATTCTTGTAATCGTAGTTTGTTTAATTCCTTTTGCAAGTGCTTCAAACCTATCAAGTTTATTAAAATATTCGTAAGTAATAGAAGACCAGAGCAATTGACTTGTTTATGTTAAATAAAAATAAATAAATAATAATAATTGAAAATTGACCAAGTGAAGAGGAATAGATACCTTAAAAGCCTTTAATAATTTCAAAAGTGCACTATGAGCAACAGTTCCAAGATAGTCAATGAATTACTCTTTGGTTTTTTCCTGCAAAACCAGATAAATCCATTTCAGATAGTTATTTTCATTATCCAAGAAGGTTTAAAACAAAAAATATGATCACCATGCATTATAAATATGGTCTGTTGTTTGATGTGAATTTCTTGTTCCCAAGCATCCACAAATAAAGATCACTTCCACTACAAAAAAACTAATTGACTAAGAGTATCTATAGAATTCACTTCCATTCCCAAAGAAGTAATGAAATAGAAAATAGAATCACCATACATGATAGTGATGTGTAAAGAAATGTTTTTGGGGCAAAAGAAAATTTTATTAATAAGTAATATAAGGGTTCCAACTTGGAAGCAAACTCTTAAAAAGCAAAATTATAAGAAACCATTACAAAACTTTCTTAATACTTTTAAATTACTAGATCTCAAAACCAAATTACAATTTATACTCCCTTACCTGATCTATGCAAGTAATGAAGTTGTTAATTAAGTACTCCTTTATCTCCTTATAGGCCTTTACCTGGTGCATTGTTCCACTAGGATAATGTCTACAACTTCCTTCCATTCTACAATCATTGTTAGAAACAGAGTTATTGTACTGAATCAAAAGACTGATTAAAATCAGATAAATTTCTTCAATTCATTCATTTTAAATCAAAATCACCATCTCATTAACCTTTTCAAATCAACAGGATATACTAACAATAAACCCTGCCATTTTAAACAAAAAAACTCCAAACCTTCATGAAATGGACATAAGCTATTTTTAGTAATCAACGAATCATAAGTAACAAAAAACTTGAACTTTAGGTGGAATGAAGGATTTCCAAACTAGTTTGTATACTGACCTTGAGAGACCATAAGAAGCCTGATGATGATTACAAATGAAGCTACACAATATTGACCATTAAATTCCCATGTCCATAACATTTTATCCTTTGCCTCTAATCTGGGACAAAAATAAAAAATTAATGTCCTTGTCATCTTCCTCCCTTTCCCAAGTAAAAATAAAAAATTCTAAATTCATATAGAGGGAAGCTTGAAAGCAGAAACAAAGTGCCTAATGCATCATAAAACTTAGCTGTACAAGCAACACAAGCATATCATCACCTAACTAGTTCTTGAGGGGAAAAAAAAAATTCAGTACCTGCTTGACCTTTAGTTAGTTCCAACATTCAAACTTTTAAAGCTAAAAGAAGCACCAAAATTGTGTTTCTCACCCTTATCTAAAAAATATACTGTATCAGCTAATTTATTCCATTTAAAAAATAAAGAAGTCATAGTACTCGTGAAATGGCATATACTACATTCACACATACATGTTTCATATGTATGTAACTCTTTTAGGCAATTTATCAAGCACGTAGAGGCCAATTGAAACCCAAACTAAGCAAAAGGGTACATTTATCAATTGAAAAGAAAACTGAAATTAAGATTATAGACATGAAGGACAAAATTCTAATCAGATCAAACATTTGATTTCTTTCTCAATTTCTCAATTTTAACCAAACTCTAAACAAAATTTAAAGTAAAAAATTAGGTTTATAAATTTTGAAGGTTCTTGTTAATGCAATATCACTATTTTAATGGCAATTCAAATGTTGTTCCTCTGTAAGTAGTTTAAAATAAAAGATCCATAATATTATGAAGATTCTAATATTTAACAATGATGGTGGAGTGTACAAACGAATTCCAATCTGCATCAATTTTAAATATGTAGACAACTGGTGTTATTTACGAATCATTGTGGCATTTAAACAAACACTTGCAAGACATTATATAAAATCACAATATAAATACAATAACAGTAAATCGCAATTAACCCTTGATATTAAAAGATGAAAATTAATAAATTCATGGGTTAGAAGATTAGATTTTCATATTGTAATAAGTTTTATACCTAAATCGAGAACATCATAAATAAGTGACAAAGATGGAGATATTGTAACGCCCCGGAAATAATTATACAATCCAACTCCAAACTACTAGTACAAAGTTATATAAGTGAAATAGGAAGCTTTCATTAATCAGAGTTAGTATACAAAAGGTGACACATGTGATATACATTCATAAATAGTTCATCTTGAATTTACAGCATGTGTTACAAGTAATAATAAGAAATGAAAGCTAAATAGATATTCATGTGCCCTAAAGGCTTACATCTTTTCAAGACAGTGTTTGGTTACAACAAAATGAGTCAGAAGCTCTATACAACTAAAGCCCTAGGCTTGTACAAAAGTTATACACAAAATAAACAAAATTGAGCCTTTAGCTCCATAGTCCTCCCAAGCTAAGTCCTTGGTGAAGGCCTATTACCAACACCTGAAAATAATTTTTTTTCCAAGTAGGGTGAGCCAAAACCCAGTAGAAACAATCTAACACAATATATGAATCTTAACAAAGATATAAGTATGATATTCATATATAATGCCTGTGATTCAAAATCATTTATAACTCTTTTGCAAAACCATGCCACGCTAAGCTTTATATCACAATTCATGTTATCTCAATTCCCTTTTTATCTCAATTCATGAGTTAAGTCCATTTCAGTCAATCAACCAAATTGAGGATACAATTTAGTGGATCTCTAATCAATATAATAATCATACAAACACATTCATTTGCCATTTTATGGAAATTTCATCCGTGGGATCGGTACCCATGTATATGCGCGATTTTTTGGACTTTCACGTTGGACACACAGGCCAACTTAATTTACTGGAGTCCATCCCCTTTCTCCTCCCAAACATTATAGATATACAATATATTAAAACACAGTCATGTTCAATAACAATCAATAAGAGATTAGTTTCAATTCATCTAATCCTCATGCAATTTCTACAACAGTTATAGCTATTCTCCACCGATAGCCCAAAACAAATATTTCTAAACCGATATACAATTTCCAAGATAGATAAATTATCCAAATTTCTATAGGTGAGAGGTAATACATATCCAACTCCACCATTTACATAAACATCTATTCAATTTCACATTCCCAATACCAATTTCATTGTTTATACAAAATAATTATTTGAAACATTTTAGGACTCCATTTCTTTCCAAAATCCAATCCATGTGTCAAAATCAACAAATTTAACACAACACATCATCATATTTACACCCGTAATCATTTTCAATAGTTTTATTTAAAAACCACTCTTTTGATTTTGAGCCAAAACCCTAAGTTTGTCTAAAATCCTCCAAATCCCAGCATTATTTGCACAACGACAAATAGTTAAGTTAAAAATCACAGGAGAGTGTAGAAAGTCCCCACCTTAAGCTTAGAAGACCAAGGAAGAAGTGGATGAACTTCAAAGACGCCGAAACTAAGATCTATTCGGATCCAAACGTAGCCCTTGAGGTGCTCTACCTTTTCAACAAAGGCACTCGGGTGGAGAAACCAACGAATCTAGGTGAAAATGTAGAGAGAAAGAGCGAGTTTTAGAGAGAGAGAGGCTCTAGATCTAGGGTTTTGAGTGAAAAAGTGATGTACAAAGGGGCTGTTACGAACTGATATACACACAGTCTGCTCAAACGTAAGAAGTGTGCTCGAGCGTCAGACAAAATGAATTGTTCCGCTCGAGCACAATAAGTGACGCTAGAGCACTAAGACACAATGAAAAAGAGCGACATCACTCGAGCGCAGATTACACACTCCTAGAAGTTTTGCAAACAATAAACCAACTCTCGAGTGCAAGAAAGGTCGCTCGAGCTGAGCCCGCTCGAGTGTAAGAATAACTGCTCGAGCGTAGAATACACTCTCCTAGTAGTTTTGCAGACCTGCAAAAGTACTGAGAGTTTGCAAAATCTGGTCGAGCGGAGGAACAAAATTCTAGACAACAAAAGTTTGGAAACCAAGCAACCAACCTGTCCCAAACGCAATCACAACAACTCAATGGCCAAATTTAAGGAAATACAAAGGAAGCAAGATATGAACAATAACACGGAACCATGAAACCCGAGTCCAAGATGCAAAAAAGGTTGGGTTAAAACCGGAATCGCTATAGGTATTGTGTGTGTTTGCTTGTGTGTATGAGAGTGAGAAAGAGAGAAATAATGCCTAATGAATTCAGTAGATTGTAGAAGATGAAAACATTGCAAATTTGTGGTGTAAATGGTAGATAAGGATGGCATGAAAGATGAAGAATGATAAACCCTTACTTCATCATTTTGTTGCCGCCTCTTTGTCCCACAAAAATTAATTTTACTTCACCAATTTCAGTGGATTGGGTATCTACTCTAGCTTCTTTTGGTTTAACTCTTGGATTGGGTCTCTAACCTCAATATTTTGCTTTCCTCTGTTTCCTTATTTCTTCAATTAAAAAATAAAAAATAAAATAGTGGAGAATTGGTAATGCGGTGAATAGTAGTGATGTACCAAAAACAAATTTATTTACTTATTTATTTATTTTTAAATAAGTTTGTTCACACTTTAAATAAAACAAAATATCAATTTTGTTCCTTACATTTTTAATTAGATCATTTTCTACCTTTAATTTTAGATTATGTGTTCCAATGGATAATACCGTTAGTGTTTTTGATAAAAAATGATAACTGAATTGGTTGAGATTAATTCATTGAGTTAAGCAAATTTATACTTTTGCCTAAAAAAGAATGACATATGTCACTTATATGCATATTTTTTTTATTAAAAATTGTTAACAATTATAAGCAACTGAAATAAATTGAGATAAATCTGTAAATTTGGAGTTAAAATCGAGTCAATTGAAATTATAGGAATGAAAATGACACAAAGACCAAATCATGTTCCTTGAAGTTTCCAATTTCATAATAAATGGCCCATTTTACTAATAAATCATCAAGTCAATTAACAATTTTTGAGGATATTATAAATTCATTTCAATTAAAAATTCAAGTAATTTTATCATTGTATAAGAGAGTTGTTAGAAATTTTATTTTTTCAGTTAATTCATATAAGGTTGTTAATCAATTTTGTACATGTGGCAAATAGATTTAAAAAAAACATATTATATTGAGTTCAGTTTATTTATTTATTTATTTTTATTGACTGCATTTTTAAAAAAATTGGGAATATATTGACCTTTTTGGTTTTTTCAAAAAATGCCATTAAATAATTTGGAAAGATTTTGGTTTAGTGGCATTTCATAAAATGTCATAAAAATTATTTGTTTATGACACTTTTCACTCAATGCCATAAAAAGTTACTTACACCTACGTAATTTAGTGGCATCTATTGATAAATGTCATTAAAATAATTTTTTGTGTCATTCTTTTTTAAAATGCCGTAAAATTGATATTACTAAATCACATTATTATTGTAGTGATGGGGCACTTCTTTATTGAAACGCCATTAGAGCCTTTTATGTTTGTGGTATTGTGACATTTTTCTAAAATGTGTCACCAAATATTATTTTTGTGGCATTTTCTAAAAACATGCCATTAGTATAGTGCCACTAAAGTGCGTTTTTGTTGTAGTGTGAACATATTCTTATTGAGTGATGATATATAAACATAAGTTTTACATAAAATTTTCAAACACAATTATATAGTTTAATGATGTCATTTCACTTTAAAACCAAATACCATAAACATGATTTATATTTACAACAATATTACTATCACAACATTTTTATAATATTTTTTGTATAAATTTTTATACATGAATAGAATTTTTCATTTTTATTTCCATTTCATTTTTTTCCTCGACTATTCACCCACATTTATTACAGTATTACTAAACACCATCATTCACATTTATTACAGTATTATTAAATTTTTATAATTTTATATTTTTTTTGTTTTTGGTAAATTTAAAAAAAAAATCACAAAATATTATATTTCTTAAGTATATCTAGATTATATGCATTTAAAAAAAAAATAATTTCTTAAAATATTCAAAAAATTCAGTAAAAATAAAAAACACGAATTTTTTTTTAAAATTTTTTGTGCGAGTTAAACCAAAGAAAATGATTGTTATTTCTCTTGAAATGACATGAACAAAATATCAGCATTATTTTATTATTTTATATGTATAAAGGCTACGAGACAAATATGTCATTTTAATTTGATAAGAGAGTAAGTGTAATTTTTCAAACGTAAGTGAGAGATCTGTATTAATATAAATCTCATGTTGTGTTAGTGTAATTTACCCAAATAAATATATATATATACCCTACTAAAAAATAAATTATGAATTTTTAATTTTGTCACTTTAAAGGGGAATTTTTTTTTTTAAGGTCCCTTGTATTAAGATTTTATAACATAAAGGACATGCAATATTTTCATAGTGGTTAGGGTCCCTCAACATTTTTCCAGAGAAATTTCGACCTAGAGAAATTTTGATCTAGAGAAATTTCAAAGCATAGAGAAATTCTAGACAAATTTCTCTATATTTTGAAATTTCTCTAGTTTGAAATTTCTCTAATTTGCACAACTTTTCTAATTTTTTGTGTTTTGAAAATTCTCTGGGATGAATTTTCTCTGATTTGCTCACAAATTTTTGTAATTTGCTTATAATTTTCTCTGTGTATTTGACTAATTTTCTCTGGTTTGCTCATAATTTTCTTTGTGTTTTAACCAAATTAGAAAAAATTGTGTCTTTTCACAGAGGAATTTCAGGCAACCTTTAACAAACACATACACAAAAAGAGATTGAGAATTGATAATGCTCTTACTCAAATTTATGCTTGTTTATGAGTTTATCCATTGGAGTAGTCAAATTGAGTATACTAACAAACTCATATGAACAAATATACATATATGACATAACTTTGGAAGCTGTGTGTGTGCGCATGCGAAATTTTCTCTAGCATTTGAAATATCTCTGACCACATTAGACTCCCAGATTTGTATGCGATAGCTAGAGAAATTTATAAAAATAAAATTTCTCTGGTATGTTGATTTTCTCTGCAATTTATCTGGCATTAAGATATCCATTTGAGATATGAAATTTCTCTGGAATTTCCCTTGGAGCTGTTAATTTTCTTTGGAATTTACTTACTTCTCCCCCCTTTGAGTTTCTTCTTCAAGTTAGTTGTGTGTGTGTAATTTTCTCTAGTATGTTGATTTTCTTTGTCATGAGATTTCTCTGCATTTATA